AATAAAGTTCGAGTATGAGAGAGACTAAAAGATGAACTTAATAGATTTTTGCACCACAGTTCGAAAACGTTTTTTGAACTTTAAGCCCACTCTCTCCGCACACTTTCCCCGGTCTCACACCGCATCCCAACCCCCTGTTTGCACACCTCGCTACATAATTTCAACAATATGCGTGCATTGTACGTTGGCCCACCTCCCTGCACCACCCCCTCCACCACCCCCTCCACCACCCCGTCCCCCTTCACCAACACCACCACAATCTACGAAAACGAAATCAGACATAAAAACATTACATTACAAACCCTTATTTTCCACACACACAAACGCTAAAAAGAGGAAGGAAAAAAGCCGGCAATCGCAAGGCGAAACAGCCGAAACAAAAACTGAAACTGAAACTGAAGCAGAGAAATCGCAGGACTCAAGGACGTGGGGCGAACACGGGGCGAGTTCTCTGCCATCGACAAGGGATGCAAAAGTGAGTGCCAGATATTAACCCTCCAAAGTGTGTGTGTGAGTGTGCCCAGTTTCTCAGTGTTGGTGAGCCTTTGTGCGATGTGTTTGGGTTTTCGCCGTGCTTGTCAATCCCGTCGTGCCAAAACAAACGCAACGAGCATTTCGCCGATTAGAAGGAAGAACCATCCGTGAGTGCAACGCGAGCGGACGACGATTCCGCGTATATTCCGATTTCTCCCGATACTGATAAGCACTAACTATATATTTTTTAACGGGAATTGCGGAAAGGAAATTATCGCGAATACTCGGAATCGGTGCCAGTAATTTACGTAGATTGTGGACGGCGGTGAACTCGAATTAAACTTAATCTTTTACTTTCTGCCGGCCGCCTTTGTTATTGTTTGCGGCTGCTTCTTCCTCCTCTTTTTGGGGGCAATAGTTCTTTGTGTTGGTGTTCGTGTTCTTGAGAGTGCGTCTTCGAGTGTTTGTGTATCTGTGAGTCAGCGCAAATGGCAATGCGCATCTTTGTTTACCCACAAAATCCGAGGCGCTCCACAGAAGAGATGTAGTTGTGGCAGTGAAAGCGGCGCCAAAATCTAAGTCTAGTGTTTTCTTTTGCCTTTCCGGCCTTTTGCGAAACAATGAACAATTCGTTTGATAATTTGCATGCCGATAGCGATAGTCAGAGAATCAGCAGCAGCAGCAACAACAACAACGGTGGACCCAATAATGACGGCGAATCGGACGAGGAGGTCATCGAGGGCATGGCGCTGCTGGAGGGCAACTATCAAGTGCTGCGCCAGTGGGTGCCACCCGCCCCCAACTATTGGGATGCGCCGCCCAAGGCCATCATCAAGTCGGCCGAAGTCAGGTAAACAAACGAGTCGAGTCTCGAAGCTGCCACATGCAACATGCAACGTGCAACATTGCGGCAGCAACTCGACGACAACAGCTACATGCTTATGCAATTAGGAGCGCAATTGCCAACGCTACATTTGGCGATTGCCTTCAATAAGTTTTAATTAAGTGCTTCGGGTTTGATTTGACAGCGCATTCCATTTTGCTGCTCACAAATTGCACAGCAATTAACTCGAATCAACTCTTTGCGAGTCTAAACTTGAGTTTAAGTCTGCACTGAGAGAAATCAGCAGACAATTGACATGGAATTTGAAACATGCTTCCTATTTTAAGCTAAGGCTAAGATCTGTAAATCGAAAAATATCGATAAAATCGATATAATATCGTATTTATGGCACATTTAAGCAATGTTGTCGATAATATTATAGGGACAATTCTATCTCTTCTTTTGATTAACAACGTATTTATTTTGAAATGTTCTGATCTGATTTGATAGCGATAAATCTGTTAAATGTAAAACACCTAAAAAAAAATCAAAAATTCTAAAAAAAAGAACTCATAACTATTTTGGTCAGTGATTCTTACTTCGGATTCGATTGCACCAGCAGACCTCTCTAACGGTCCAAGGCAGCAGCAGCACTTGTCGCCACGGCACTATTCAATAAAAGTGCAGTTATTTGTAACGCACTTTTATGGCCACACATGCGATACAAACCGAGACCCAACGATCTGGACCGGGCGGTTCCAACCGCCTCAACGAGTCCAAGTCCCGTGTCCGGCCGATGGAAATCTCAATGGATTTGGCCTCGGCGCTTGACAAATAATTTTCGCGTTTTAACAGCTTGCAATTCATTCAATAAAAATTTGATTATTATGGGCGTCATCAAATGCGGCGAACAGTATTTGCATGTCGAGCAGCAACTAACCGAACGCAAATAAATTCGTTTAAGCACGTTGAGTACTGTAGCTTTACAAGTGACAGCGGGTATATAAGTTTAAGACTGGATTGGATGATGCCATATGAAATATGATATTGTGTGATTTGAAAGCTATGCACTGAACATTTAATGATTGTTCAGTAAAAGAACGTATAACTTTACAAACAAAAATTATTTTAGATTTAATTATTTGAAGTTCTTTTTTATTTTAAATGAACTCTTCATCTAATTAAAATTCCTGCAGCTTGGCCAATGTCTTTGAAATGTATTAACCATTAATGGAGAACGTCCACAGGCCGGCTTTAAAATCTACAATATTTAAGAAAAAAATTGCAAATATCAGTTATTAAATTAAATATTTGTTCTTTATTTGGTCTTTACATTTCCTCCTTGATCTCTTTGACACATATTAACCCTACGTTGCGCAGTCCTAACAAATGGACCGTATCGTACGTCTCCAGTTTCAGTCCATTTGCTCCATAAAACTGCAATTTTTCCAGACTTAATCCGTAGGCGGTAGCATACTTCACCATCAGGTGCTTTAAGGGCTGCCTCTTGCCAATGAACATCCTGCAATATCCTTTTCCATGTGGCGTAGTTAATTCAATAAGCTCTTTCATCTTGAAATTTTTAATATTTTTTTTTCGGATGATATTTGCTTTTATTCGGTTTGTCGACTTCCTTGCTTTCTTTTTATTCAGTAATGGTTTGAAACAAATCACCCAGGCCAACTTGATAAGACTGAAATCAATTTTCGTTCTTTTCCAATTCTTTGAATTTACATTTAACTTTATTATTAATTGGAAAATTCAAATTCAATACAAATGAAAATAGATTATATGTATTTTAATGCAGGGTATTGGGTAAATTTTAGTATGATTTTACAGATTCAGCGGATTCAGCAACAATATGGGACACATAAAATTATTAAATTATTATTCTTACTATTTAAAAACGAGGTGTTATTGAATAAGGCGATGATAAAATATCTTTGATATGCAGAGAATTTCTCGCGACCCATTCATTTTGGCATTGATAGCATACAAACAGATTGTACGGGTTTATTTGTCTGACAATCCGTACGCCCGTCGATCCGTCCGTCTGTCTGATGTCCAACTTCACTCAACGAGCGCCACAGTTGGCGTCTGGGTCTTGAGTTGCTGCATTTGCTGATGTTGCTGTTGCTGCTGTTGTCTCACTGTCAACACCATGAGGTATGCAATATGCAACATGCAGTGGGGAGTCGCGGGGGCAAGTGGGTCTTCGTCGCCGTCGTTGACAACTGCAGCATGAGTCTGCGGAATTGAGTTGCCGTTTTTTTGTTTGCTGTTCGCTGCTGGCTGCTTGCTGCCTGTTGCTGGCTGGTAAATAATAAATGCGTTGCTTGAGAGAATGCGAGATGGGAAATCAAAATGCAAACGCTGCCAGATTCTTTCTTTTCGCTGGATCCACTTGAGGCGGCAGCAACAATGTCCCCTGGTTTCGGCATGGCTTCGTTTTGTTTTCCTCCGCCGGGCCGTTAAGTGCAACAGAAGCAGCAGCAGCAGCAGGCACGGCATTGTTGCAACTACGAGTATCTTTTGCACGTTCTCAATATGCATTTCTGAATTACAATATGTTGATTGCATTTCGCCGGCACGTAGATGGAACACATGCACTCCAGGGCTTCCACTCCCAGCCGCCATAATAATGATGAGTATTGAAATTGCCAACAATGCAGCGCATTTCCCCTTTCCATTTCCCACTATCAGTCCCTATTCGGCTTCCTTTTCTGCGGTCTGATAGCCTTTGTTCTTGGCCAGGATCCCTCCCTTAGCGGTTTGGTTGGGGCTAAATTACTTTATACTCCTGTACGGCTGGTTGCCAGGGTAATTGATATGGCTTTGTTTCACTCGACTGTTTCTGTTTTCTGTGTTTCGTTTGGTTTCGCCCTTTTGTTCAGCGAAAAGTTTGTTTCTGGGACGGAAAAGCCCACCAACCAAAGAAACTTCCTCTTCCTGGGGAGGTGGAAAGGGTGGAAAGGGTATTACAAAACCCATAACCACATGAAAGCTCCACCACGACCTTTGGCAAAAACCACAGATGACATAATTAATGAGCCTTTGAACCGTCCATAAATAAGGAATAGTTCATATTCAGTTGTTGCTAACGTTGCACATGACTTGTGTATAAATCAATTTAATATTTCTCCTCTTCTCGTTTCAGGTAAGTTGATATACGACAGCCACGGCGACTCCTTTCACTTTGTGGGCTTTCTTGGCGGTGCCAGTCACAATGGCAACATCAACATCAACAACAACTTCTAGGCAACTTTTTTGAATTGTGTGAAGGCGGCACGTCAATGTCATTGAGTCCTAAGGTAAATGGCCAGGGAAATTCAAATTCGAGTAACGAAAATGCCGATCCAGCTGCTTGGGTGAAAATTACGATGACTTGTCACACAAAGCGGGTTTTTCTATTGGGTTTTGGGGATTGTTAGCGAATTAGCACAACAGCCAGCCTCATAAATTGCAATTTACAAGGAACTGAGTGGAGCCAAAGGAATTTTCCTTCTAAAACGAGCTAGCAATAGCTCTAAAGCAGTTATATACCATAAATTTAACACTGAACATGGCTGAGAAAATTAAAGTATGATATTTATAATGAATACTAAAAGTCATTTAAGACCTCTGGTTAGGGCAAATGGATAAATCTGAGTAAACCAAGCTCCCTCTGTCAACTAAGGCTGCTCTATAATACATATTCGCCAGCTTCACACTTTTATATCATACTTAACCCTGGGATCTTCGAAATCTAAACATTCCATGATGATGAGACCCACGCAGCACTCGGTGATCCACTCGCTGGGCAAGATTTCGCAGGTATCCATGGAGGGTTCGCACTCCAACAAGCACAACTTCATGGAGGCCCACGATGACGATGAGCAGCAGCCGGAGAACAGATTTGTGGCCAACGAGACGGTGGAGGACATTCTGAACGAGGTCCTGCGCACGCAGAACTTCCAGCTGAAGAAGTCGGACAGCACCCTCGATGAGCACTGCCAGTCGGTGAGATCCAGGCCGATGAGGATCAGGCCGCAACTGGACCTGGATCTGGACATGGACCCGCGGCTGCGCAACTGGAATCGCGTGCTGGAGCAGCGAAGGCGATTGCAGGAGCGGATCGAGCGGCAGACGGGTAAGCGGGCCCAGGATGTGCTCTTCAACCGATCGGCGACCATCGACGAGGCCAGCAAGCGGATGATCCTGCGCGTCCTGGACACAGCCGACCGATCGCAGCCCCTCGTTCGCCTCAAGGAGAATGCCACCCTGACCTCGCTGAAGCCGCGCCGAGATCCCGATCTTTGTCGCGAGCTAAACGAGCTGTATGCCGTGAAGCCGCAGTTGCAGCAGGTGGAGTTTGTCGGCCTGCCGCAGGTCACCCAGCAGGAGTTGGCCGCCACCCAAGTGCCGCCCCATGCGGTGGAGAGCCAGTGGCAGCGCTCCAAGGTCCTGAGCCAGCGCCTCGAGGCCAAGAAGCACGCCATCCAGCATGTCCTGGAGTTTGCGCCCGACCTTCAGGAGCTGCAGGTCACGCCGGCAGTTGTGGAACGGGCCAACAAGACGCCGGCGATCATCAAAGTCGGCGAGTCCTTCTTGAGGAACCTCTCCGGTGACTCCACCTCGGTGGAGGAGGAAGAGGACTCGGAGCTTGGCCTGCTGTCCTTTGATGAGGAAGAGGGTGAGGATGAAGCCGCAGCTGAGAAAATCATCAAGGAAATTGTCGGTGGGCGAGTGGAGGTCAATGATTTGGAAGAGCCACAGGACGTGAATGGGTTGATGATCAATGGCATGCTCCTTGATTACCACAATCCCACCGGCGCCACCGGCAAATCTATCCATATGCTGCTTAAATGTGAGCCCTATCAGCGGAAAGTCGAGATGCTTTTGGATATCCAGGTAAAATCTGGCAGGGGAAGTCCTTAGCTTTTTCGGTTGTCTTGAATTTGGAAATATTTAAGCACATTTAAGTAAGGCATTTTGATGCTTAATGGGTGGAAGTGCTTCATGTTGACCCTTTATCACTCAGTCCATCTTGCTTACTTCTTCCAGTGAAATTATTAGGCACCTCCTATATATATTTTAAAATTTTTCTGTTCACGCTTGTTGGGTTTCTTTGCTTAAGGACGACTTCTTCCACAGAACCTCAGTCCCAAGTTGGTGCATGTCTTTTGGCTAAACAAGACCCGCCTGCGTTCCGATCGCTTGCCCATGGATTCCGAGCTGATCTTTGACCGCAGCGAGTTCATCCTGGAGCCGCAGGGTCGTCGCCTCATCCGGGTGATGTTCCAGCCGCAAATCGTGGGCCTCTTCACGCAGCGATGGTACGTGTGCCTACAGAGAACGCCCTTCTGCGGCACCCGTCGGCTGGACGTCATCCTCCAGGGTCAGTGCACCATGCCGGCTATCTTTCAGAGGCGCTTGAAGGAACACCGAAGGGTGCCGGTGGCCAAGCAGAAGAAGATGCAGGCGCACAGCATCCTCCACATGCAGTCCAGTCTGGCGCCCATTATCGAGAATCCCCGGCCATTGTGTCCCTACCAGAGATCCTTGGATGAGCGAGAGATTTTCAATGCCCAGAATCCTTCCTATCGCTGCGAGCGATACGAGGATCTGGAGGCTCTCAAGGATATATACGGACTGGCCAAGAAGCCGCGAGATCGACCCTGGGACCTGAGAATCGAGACCCTGCGTCGCTTCATCGGCAAGCAGAAGAGCCGCTTCCTGCGCGAGAATCTGCACAACCAGCTGGTGACTCTTCTCCAGCCGATGAAGTGCAACAGGTGCTCTGCCTTTCCCCTCCTGGAACACAATCCCCAGCAGGAACGGTCCCGCTTCATCTACGTGCGCGGCACCATCAGCAGTTTCGTCGACGAATGGGAGGCCATGGCCCTCGGTTTGGATGAACAGTTCTTCAAGCTGGAGCTCCTGCGTTATCTGCCCGAGAAGAATCCGTATGAACCAAACGATGAAATGAATGTGGTGGAAGATATCTCGAAGAGAGTGAGGTCTAACAAGTACCTCAAGGACTCGCTCTACATGCAGACCTACAATCTGCTTTGCGATGCCGCCGAGGACATTGTGTCCGTCATCGAAAGCACTGCTGGCTAAGATTCAAACAGCAAAGCAGACTGAGGTGCTCTTTCATCTCCTCTCAGCTACATCGAACAATATTAGAGGAACTTATGAAAGCACCTCGGTTAGTTTGATTTTCGAACCATTTTCCTCGTTCATATATTTTTCTAACGTGTTTAGACGGCATTACACAAATAAAGTTAAAAAAAATTATTTGATAATGCATAGAAGAGTCGATTGACTAAATCAAAAAATGTATTTTTTTATTTTTAGGAAAAAAAAAAGTTTACAAAAATTTAAAGTTTTAGTTTTTGGGGACAATCAATTGGGAATTTTATTACGAGCTGAACTAGGTATAACCATCCATATTTTTCTAACTATTCCCATTACTTCGGTCAAAATGCCAGTACTAAGTTGGGTGGAACATCAGGATTTAATCAGAAATTTTTAAATCGACAGTCGATTTTGTGGCTCTATAAAAATCGCATGCGTAATACTTTCAATTATTGTTTTGTATACAGTTTTTGTTTAAACTAGTGTGCAGATAATAATATTTAACTTGAAATTTAGGAGAATTACATAGTTGGCTTGGCAGTGAATGCTTTGAATGGCCCGTTTGATTTCTATTTCGAGTCGGAAAACACCGCTGACAAGAAACCTTATATTTTTTACAACACTTGAAGTTGACATACGAAATACTTAAACTGCAAGCTCCCTCACAAAATGGAAAGCCTGAGGGCAAAGAGTCCGCAGATGTCTGGCGAGTGCCACATGCTCAACTTTTCGGAGTCCACGTTCACGAACAAAAACGGCGATTCGGAGAACTTTTCGAAATTCACACTGGCCAACATGGCTTCGCTGCCCTCGTCGTTGACCGAACCGACGACCCGCTCTCTTGCGCAGGCGCAGCTGAATGCCACCTCGCCCATGGGCAAGTACACGGAGCGCATGGTGGAGGAGATTCTGAACGAGATTTTCATGGAGCGACGCGGCGACTTCCCGGAGACGTCCTCCTCCTGCCACCTGGCCGAGATGCCGTGGCCCCGCGAGGAGCAGGAGCAGCACGTGGACAAGCGCCTGCGCTACTGGAAGGATGTGCTGCAGCAGCGCAAGAAAATGCAGCAGCGCGTCCAGCGGGAAACGGGCAAGCTGGCCAGCGAGGTGCTCTTCAACCGACGCTCCACCCTGGATAATCGCGACGGGCAGACGGTGAAGCGGATCTTGGACTACGCGGATCGCATGCAGTGTGACCGATTGATAAACGTTCCAGTTTCCAAACTGGGTGACCTTCAGGATCCCTGCACCTGCCAGGTGATTCCCGGACTGGAGGCCACGTGCCCTCAGGCGGAGAAGGTGGGCTACAAGGATGTGGAGATCATTGGTCTGCCTGAGGTCAGCAAAAGGGAGCTGTTGGGCCGGGAGGCCTTGGAGCAGAAGCCTCCAACGGGTTGGCTGCAATCGCAGTTCCTGGACGAACGACTGGAGCAGCGTTTCCCAGCCATCCAGCAAGTGGTGGAGTTCTTTCCTGATCTCAACGCTCTGCAGATAAAGGGCAAGGCCATCAGTAAGCTCAAACCACCTCCAAGTACCGTCCTCGTGGAGGTGGACTCGCTGCACACGGTGACCAACAGCGACAGTCCGCTTATTTGCTCCGAGGAGGGCATCTGTGAGTCCTGTGGAGCCACAGAGGAGGAATCAACGGAGGCTCCACCTCCACCCGTCGTGCCAGAACTGGGATTACGGGTCAACGGGGTGGACTACGTGCCGGGTGAGAACAAAGATTGCTACGAGATTCTCACCCGATTCACATGCGATCCATTCCGGCGACGCCTTAAGCACGTCCTGCAGCTGACCAACATTGGCCAGCAGACGCTGTCCTTCACCTGGAAACAGAGCACCTACTACTACAACCGCGGATCCCTGCTGCTGGCCAGGGACAATGAGTTCTACTTCGATTTGGGAGGGTTCAGGCTGGCTCATGGTGAAACTCGAAATATAGCCGTGCTCTACCAGCCACGGAAGGTGGCCATGACCATGGAGCTGTGGCTGCTGCAGGTGGAACCGCGCATCTTCTGTGGCCGCCAGGAATCCCTACTGCTTCGCCTGCACGGACGTTGCTCTCCGCCGGCGGACTACATGGCCAAGTTGCTGGAGTGCCAATGCGCCTGCATCTGCAAGTCGGATGCGGTGGCCATTGGGAAGCTCACCACTCATCTGGGTGCACTGGCTCCTCTGGTGGTGCCTCCGCCCGCCTGCTGTCCCTACGATCGACCGCTGGACGATCGAGAGGCGTTTAACGCCCTGAATCCGGGATATAACTGTGCCCGTTTCGATGACCTGGAGGTGCTCCGTGCTTTCCATCAGCGTCTGAAGAAGCCGCGGGAGCCACTGTGGGATCTACGTCTCTCCACCATCAAGGATTACATTCTGAGGATAGAGGGTTTGGTGGAGCGGGAACAAATCTTTGCTGAATTCACCAATCTCCTCGCTCCTCTGCTGGGCGGAGAATCCTCCCTGAATACCACCTCCTCTAAGCAGGATGATCAGAAGCAACGATCGCGGTTTATCTATGTGCGTGGAGTGATCTGCAATGGAATTGCCGAATGGGAGGACCTAATGTTCAACGTTCAGGATTCATTTTTTAAGCCGGAGTTGCAGAGGTTCTACCTAAATTTGCTCGGGGAATCGGAAGAGGGGGAGGTTGAAGAACAAGACGGGGAGGAACCTCAACCGAGTCCCATGAAGCCCATTGACAAGGAGAAACTTGCGGAAATAATCGGAGAAACGGAGTTGGACGAGGAAAAGATCCGGGCGGCGGTGATGCGCACTCTGTATCGTTCCAAATACTTCCGGGACTCGCTCTACATTCAAACTTACTCACATCTGTGCAACATGGCCGAGGACATTGTGTCCGTCATCGAGAGCACAGAGGTGGTGCCGTGATTAGTTAAGAAATGTTTGTTGAGAACTATAAAACTTACGTTTGAGATAACCTAAATCCATTCATTATTTTCTTCCATTTCATATAAGTAGTCATGCCCTTAAAGTCAAAAACACTCCCATCAATGGTGACACCCCAAAAACAATTAAATTTAAAAATGTGCTCAATTCCGACGGATCTGCTGATCAAAGAGGATTCCTCCGAGGACAGCATCCATCCAGACGGCTTGGCCAATGACCTTATAGACGAAATTATGAGAGATCATACTGTGAGAGGTGTCCACCACGAGTCGTCTTCCTTCGCGTCCTCGTCCAGTTTCCCCCCAGAAAAATGCAAAAGTAATGTGGAACATCGTCTACACTACTGGAAAAACATGCTTATCCAGCGAAGGGCTTTGCAAGAGAGACTACGAAGTCAGTTGTGTAGGACTCCAGAACAGATGATTTTAAATCACCAGGGAAAGATAGTGAACCGTTCGGTGAAAGGCCTTGTGGAGATTGTGGGACTACCCAGCCATTTGGCTGCTGAATTGTTAGGAAGGGAGAGTCCCGAGGAAATAGAGGACTATGAGGACAGTTCGACAATATCTCCACCTAAAATCTGTAACCTTGAGGTTGTGGGTAGAAGGTACAAGGATGTTCCTGACCTAATAAATACCATTGGAGACACCTCTAATGAGCTCATAAGGTCAAGTGGCGGAGGTGGAGGTGAGGTCATCCAACCGATACAGACGATCCAACAATCGGTGACCGGGCCGGGCGTCCGTATCAACGGAAACCATTACTGGCCGCATGTGCAGGAGTTCTCGCCAATTGTGGACAGGACCTTTATTAGCAATCCCTTCCAGCGTCACCTGCGCACCATTGTTCGCATCGAGAACTGCGGAAATCAACAGCTGCATTTCACTTGGAGAAAGGTGAACTTCTTCTCAAACAACGATACTCTGATGGAAGCCGATTCCGACGACTTTGTTTTCGATGTGGCCCCGTTTATCCTACTTCCAGGTGAATTCCGGGATGTTACGGTTCTGTACCAACCTCGATATGTGGCTATTGTAAAACAACGCTGGATGCTGTTGACCAGACCTCGGATTTTCTTCTGCCGACCTTCAGGCTTTATTTTGAACCTTAATGGTCGCTGTACTCCGCCCAAGGAGTACCTGGACCGACTTAAACTAGAGAAGCTTCAGGTGACGGTCTGTGAGCCGCGGGTTCATTTAAAGCAACGGAGTTCGATACTCTGTCCATATGAAAGGGAGCTGGAGGATCGTGAGGCTTTCAACCGACGGAATAGGAGCTTTCAGTGCCATAGTCACGAAGTCGTTGACCGTCTCTTGACCTTCTACAGGCGGCTGAGACTCCTGCATCCAATTTCATTTCCTCCTTCCTGGGACTACAGTGTCCACTCGATTATTCACTTGGTGTGCAAAAGCCAGGATAGTCGACAGCGCATTGAGCACTTTTTGGAATTAAGCCACCTTCTAGACGATTTGCGAGGTGCACCGTCTGTGCCACTTAGTTTGGTGGACTCTCCTGAAAGATTGAGGGATCGGAATCATACCAAGCACCTCTATGTGCGAGGAATACTTGCCAGCAGATTGGAGGAATGGGATGAGAAGGTCCAACTTCTCAGGTCAAGAGTTACCAAGGAAGAAAGCAAAAACTCTTACCATTCAAAGTATTTCATGGACTCGATATATATCTTGTTATACGGACTAATTGGCAGTGCGGCTGAGGATATTGTGTCGGTGATCGAGAGCACAGCTCTGATCTAGTTTTCCTCGAGAAGAGAAGACAAAAATAAACAAACAAAAAAAAAAACACTTAAAACATTAATAAAAAACTCTATAAAGATGGAACAGCGAAGTGGATTAGGTTCGCGACACCGCTCGTGGTTGCAATCCTTCAGGAAAACCCCAAATTCCTATAGGGAACCCGGGTCCCAGAAGAACGTGGTAGACATGAAGTCCGATTCCACGGGGCTGGATTTTCGCAAGCGAAAGAGCCTCAAGGAGGTTACCGACCTGGAGGGTGAGAAGATACTGGACGACATAATCCAGGACATCTTCAACAAGAAGCTGGGCATTACCACGCTCTCCAGCTCGGAGTGTTCGCTGGACGAGGATATGCGGGAGTCGATGAGCATGGATCCGCGATTGAAGCTCTGGTACGACACACTCCAGAACCGAGCCACCGTTCAGGCGAAGATCCAGCGAAAGTTGGGCCGTCGTCCGCACGAGATGCTGATCAATGTGGGCGGCACGGGAGCTCCCGGGGATCGAGGTACCGTGGAGCGGCTTCTTGACCTCGCGGGTCGCATGAATCCCACGACCTTGGCCCAGAAGAAGCCAGCCGTTCTTCCTTCGCAGATAAATGCACAATGCCTGGAAGTTCCTGAACTCCAGGAGACGCTTCCCCGAGCCGAGCAGTTAGGTTGGGTGGATATGGAGGTCAGTGGACTGACCAGAGCCACCAAGCAGGAACTTCTGGGCACGGCACACCCACCACCGGAGAAGCCCTCCCGTTGGCTAAAATCACGGTTGCTGGAGGAGCACATAGACCACAAAAGTGGCGACATTAAGCGGGTTTTGCCTTTCTTCCCCGACTTGGACAAACTGGAAGTGGTGGGTGGCACTGTGCAGGAATCCCTCATCCGCAGCGACACCCCGCAGATCGAACGAGTGTCCTGCAACTCGATTTTCAGTTTGAGCAGCTCGTCGGAGATTGCAGCAGAGTATGTGAAAAAGGAAGAGCAACCTCGAGGGGCAGAACCTGACCTGCAATCTGGGATAGCCCGTGCGGCGGTCAAGATAAACGGAGTGGTTTTCTTCAATGCCGGCAGACGAGGTGTTGTGCCCGACATCGCCAACGTTTTCTTCGAGTGTCATCCGTTCCAGAAAGTGGTCAAGGAGGTAGCTCGCGTGGAGAACGTGGGCGTTCAGGTGCTCACCTGCCAGTGGGCAATGGGCGATTGCAAGAGGGGTGGGAAGTGCACAGCTCAGAGCTGCCATAACTTCCTACTCTCCCAATCCACCTTCACCGTTTTTCCCGGCGAGGAGGTGGTGTGCAACGCCCTCTTCCGCCCACGTGGATGCTACCTCTTCAAACAGCGCTTCGAACTCCGCATTTTTCCTAATGTAATTGGTTCGGCTCGCGGGGTTTTTGTGGCTCGGCTGACGGGACGATGTGTTCCTGCACCTGAGTACACTAGCAAACTGCGAAGGCTGCAGAACACGATTACTGAAAGGTCCAAAAAGCGGATGGCCAATGATTTGACCGGGATTCAGGCCTCCATAGTGCCCCTCCTGAAGCCGCACGAAGTGGTGTGTCCCTATGAGCGAATCCTCGACGAGCGCGAGGTGTTCAATGCCGAGAATCCAGGCTACAAGTGCGAGCGCTTCGATGACCTGGAGACCCTGAAGGCACTGCATCAGGCACTAAAGAAACCCAGGGAGCCCACTTGGGATCTGCGACTGGAAACGCTCCGTGAGGTAATACTGCGGCTGCCGGACTCCAATCAAAGGAAACTGCACTTCGCCAAGCTCGTCGAGGTGCTGGAGGAACTGAAACAGGGAGGCGGTAAAGGATCCCTCACCCACTTTAGTCGGAGTGAGCAGAGGACTCGATCCACCTTTATCTACGTAAGGGGATGTATAGGGAATGGCATTCAGGAGTGGGAGGAGATGATGGCCTCGCTGGAGCTGAGTGGCCTCCGGTTGGAGGTCAATCGGTTTCAGGTTAAACAGCAGGAGGAAGCTGAGAGCGCCGAGGAAGATGAGGTGGAGACGAAGCCCTGGCTGCTACATCTGCGCAATGAAAATCCCCGTCTGTATCTCCTGAAGAAGCTGCGATCCAGAAAATCCTACAGGGATAGCCTCTACATGCAGACCTACTCGCACCTGTGTGACATGGCCGAAAACGTGGTCTCAGTTATCGAGAGCACCCAGAATTCTTAAAGTTATCGTGTAGATAGTCCAAAATTTAATGTGTCAGTCTGAAGTTGCCAAAAAAGAACTCTCGCTAAGAAAAACTCCCCTGGGATGGTCTATTGATTTGGAAATCTATTAGCCCCAATGACGGTGTGGGAAACTATTTCCCTGCCAAGGCCTGTGGGGACACACCTGTGCCCCTGATGTGGCGCTAACTTTTCCCATTACGATGGCCCTTTATGGGCCAACGAAATTGCCCATTTGCCGTTTGGGCGGAGGAATCCCAGGCCCACACCTCTAGCAACCCCCATATCATGCTTAATGGCGCGCAAATGTCGGCCGGAAAAGTTTCGCAGGCGACTTCGATTTGAGCTAGTTTGCATTGATTTGATGACACTTTGGGGGTTATTCGATTCCGCTAATAAACGAACCGTTGGCGTGTCAAAAAGTTGTCTGCACATTTAGGGGACGTTCCCTTTTCACGGTGTCCGTTGAAATGTGGCGACGAACGAGGCCATTATGCTTGCAATTAGCCAAATTGATTTTGTGATAGCGTCAACGCCAGTCCTAATCCCTATTCTTATATATTCAGTTTATAGAATGAATATGTTGAGCCCTTATTAGACTTTAACTAATAGCCTGCGATTTCCCATTTCGTTTCAGGTAAGCCAAGTGAACACAGACCAACTCATAGTGAGTAAACGCATTAATGGGTAAGTCTTTGGTGGCCGACGCCTCGGGAGCTTCACACGCCGCCAATCCACAATTTCAAATACCCACCATAAATCATGCATCATGGGGCATCCCGAGGTGTGCAACAAAAAGCGGCAGGCAGAGATGCCGTGTTTCCGTTCACACTCGACGTCTAATTAGCCCACAGACCGCTTGAGATGCTACTAATGTGTGGCTTAATGATCTCCAGTTTGCAGATGCATGGTGACCAACTAACATGGTCAGCAGCAAATTAACCTTGAACCCGTCACATGGCCAGCACGGTTGACATCGCATTTTTTCTCATTTTAAAGCCAGTTAAATTAAGAAGTATGTGTAGGAAGGTTGGGAAATATACAAATATGCATAAAGGGGGGCAGACTATAAATAGGTTGGCCTCAATTTAATCTCCATTAGGTGAATTTCTCTAGTTCTTCATTTAGCTTATGTTACATTTAAAGACACGTGTAATTTATAAAAGTCACTTTATAATCACTCAACGGTCTTTTGACAAATCCCATTTCACGGTTACTATATTGGAAAACCTAAAATGTATAATTGGGCATACCCCAAAATGTGTATTTGGCTTTGGGTACCTTTCTACTACCATTAAAACTATATATTTTGTTAGATGTTTAAAAAATGTCAATTTTATATACTTTTAGTTTGATAAATAAAATTAAATTAGTGGGTATTAAAGAAATGTATTTACATTTTATCAGCACCATGTCCAGTTGACGGTTCGAATGGGAACTACAAAATACGTACAAAATACTTTACTCAATTCTCTACTTGATTATAAAGCATAACATTTGTAGAACATTTGTAGAATGAATGAAAGGATTATTGAAAAATTGTACTTTTCAATAAAACAAATATTTTAAAATTAATTTTTTTTAATTGTATAATTTTTGTCCAATGTTCTTAGGGTTCGTTTGTATTTCCATATTTTTCTTACATATTTGACATTATTTTTCTCTAAAACAAAGTCAAAGAATGTGCAATTCTACAAAGAATCTTAAGCTCAATTCTACACGTACAGAAACATCGTTATTCTTCCAGAGATTGTATACTTTTAGGATGATAATATAGCACAGCGCAGATCAAACATGTTTTGCGTTGGAGTTGCAGCTGGCTTGAGTTCGAGCTCAATATAAATAGGTTTTTAAAGTTATTTTGAAAAAAATTGAATTAGGAAATTAAAATTTTTGTATTGATTTCAAAAATATCTGTAAAGGTCCCAAGTAATATTCAAGTCTCACTTAATTATACATTTTGTGTGCTTCACCTATGCAATCCGTACAATACTTCTTCGAACACGATCCACATCCAGGGATCCAAGCACCAGAGCGATCCACATCTGGCGAGGTTCGATCAGTCTGAAAGCGTTGTCCGTTGCGAGCGGTTTACACCTGGCAACAGGTGCGCATTGTCGTCGAAAAGTCCGTGTGATCGATCGATCGAGTGCTCGGGTCTTCGTCGGAGCCGATTTCGGTCCACGTTATCTTGCGCCAGATCTGTCATTTACCGTTTTCCAGCCAGATGATCAAAGCAAAGTGCACAAAAACCACAGAAATGAAAAGCTGCTAACTGAATTCACGAGAGTGGCAAAAAGTAAAATTGACAAAAATAAGTGAAGTGCAATCAATAATCCAGGGCAAAGTGCTCCTTCTTTTGGCCCAACTAAATTTATACAACAACTCGCGGAACGTTCAATTATGCTAAAAGCATGGGGATAAGCCAAATGGCCAAGTGAGGTGCGATTTAAGCCAGGTCTTCGCCTGGGGATTGTCAACGCAGCGCAGTTCATTCGACATGGATACAAACACGGATACCCGAACTCCTCCCACAGTCACAGATACCTCAGAGAAACAGATACAGATACAATAAAATTACATTAAAAATCAAATGAAACTCGAGACCGATTGATATGCGCGGCACAGGCGTCTGGCCGGCTGCCCTAACACAATATTTTTATGGGCTTATCGAGTGTCGAGAATCGGTTGGCCAGGGTGTGTTTACTTTAAGCCAATGAGCCGACGAAAGACTTGGGCAACGAACTTGGGGCAAAAGATTCGTCAGCTCATCGGTTTAATGGCTTTCATAAGCCCATGCTCATTACACGTCAACTCAAGTGCTCGGCTTGATTTATTTAGATGCGTTAAGTTTTAATCGCCGTCATTCGCTGCGCACTTTCACCAACTTGCTGCAGCCTCGCGGAATGAAGTCATAACCAAATAGGCTTACGACCTGCTCCGAAACATAAAACATGACTTGTCTAGCCATAAAAACACTTGGCAAAAAGGCCGAAAATAATTTGATTACCGCGCACTGCGAACGGCTTTCTCCGCCGCTTGCTAATTGGATCAAGATCTGCAGATCTCGAGATCTCAAGATCTGAGGATCCGAACCAGCTGCCACCCACAGAACTGTAATGAAACGGACTTACATACCCATACCTACATATATGGCCTGCAATGTGTCAACAATGGCTTGTTAGCAATTGCTTTTCAGCCGAAGTGAGTGTGTGTGTGTGTGGGCTTAAGACATGGGTTTCCAGCTGCAAAACACCTTATTGACAAGAGACATTTGACTCGAACGGCATGTAGTTACATGTGTGTGGGCCGGGGTTGAAATTTATCTCCGATTTCTAATTGCCTGACATGCCAATTTGAATTTAAAGCGCAAGCGATAGTGGTTCTCAGTTAAAATTCCACCGAGATATCACATATATATCCCGGGTTGCCATAAAGCACCGAACGGAACGCTGCAATTCACTGCGCTCTCTTATGGCCCGGCCAACTAAATCAATTTACGCACTGCCTCTCGATGTCTTGGCTTCGATTCCGGGCTTTATTAAGAAATTCTTCATAATTATGTAGCGTCGGCCTGCGGCGGCGGTTTGAAATAAAACTGTTGTTTATGGCGAGTTGCCGAGTTGCGGCAACTAGTTGGCTCAATTATGGCTCTGCTGCACCAACTTTCTCCCTCACTTTGGGCCAGCTGCCGCCACGGCTGCTTAACCCCAATCGACGCCTCTAACTGACTAACTAACTGGCGTGTTAATTTGTTGGCCAGTTTCCTCCGAACGCAGGCGTTCCACAATTGCCGGAGCATGAAGAGCTACTCAGATTCACTCAGATTCCGAGATACAAACCTAAAGCCAACCGAAGAATAGATTGGCCACTTTACAGTTTGGTTTCTTAACATAACAAAGGTCCGAGTGGGTCAACAACCTAACCTTCGTTATGTCAATCTCCCTCTTTTGTCCCACCATTTGCATATTACACATGTCTCACGTCCATTTGAAGAGGCAATTAACGAACTGCTTCCCAGCCACTCATCATTGGCAGGCGAATTTTAGGTCTTAAAAATTAATTTGGCCGCGTTATGAGCTTTTAAGGCGGGAAGTCGTAAATAAATATGGGTTCCGTCATATAGATAGACTGTATATGCAAACGCCAATTTGATCTGTCATCCTGTCAGCTCGCGTTAGTTTCCCAACCATCTTCCAGGCCGATAAGAACGGGTTCCCCGGAAAATGGAGCAACTGGTTTCCTTCTCCTCGACGCCTTTTGATTGCATTTGACATTTAACACGAGTGCGCCGCAGATTAGACCGAACCAACTGCCAGCCGCCCACAAGGTTTCCCAGTTTCGGAGGCGTGCCCAGTTCGATTTTCATTTTCACTTTGTTTTCCATGGCTATAGTCTTGAGTCTCGCAAAAAAGCAAAAAACCAAACCAATTTTCGTGCTGCCTGCGATCGGGTTTTCTATGTAAGCTCAATTAAAATTCGAGAAGGAATTCCTGAGCGGCGACAATCAATTCAGCGTTTAACACCCCACCAGCGTGAGATTATTATCGGGCCCAATGAAATATGAGAGCCAGACAATGGCTCATTAGATCGCTTGGCTTTCGCCCAAACTAGTTTTTGGCTGACTGGCTGGCCTAAACTGTGTAATTATTACGGGCCGGCCCAGCCAGAACTTGGGCTTTCAGAGGCTGAAATTATAGTTCGGCCGTAAAATAGACAAACAAGTTAATCCATTAGCGAGTGAGACATCTTGGCCAGAAAGACCGGCAAGAATCCAGCCAGTCTCCGCTATTAAGTGCATATTTCTCATTGTTTCTTATTGTCTAACTGGCTCTCTGACGTTCTTTCGTATGTTAATATCGGAAAATGTGCCAGCTGCCATCCGACTGCATAATAAATTATGAAATTTTACAGTTGCAGCCGCCGCTGAATGAGTTGTCACGTCTGCGGCTTTCTAAACCACTTAGGTAGGCAGTGATAAGTCCACAGATATGTCGGATATTCTACGATGCTGAATGGGATTCTTGATAACACAATTTCAGACCCGTTGAATAGGCGGAGGAGGAGGGGAAAATGCAGCTCAAGTGGGCGCATTACAAAAGGTTGAATGGTGAACGGTGGAAAGTAAACCAAGACAAAGCAATTGACTTTTTAACCTGCATTTCGTTCTGTAAATTACAGTCGGAGAAAAATCTACATAAATAGCCATAAAATTAATTGCTCCTGTCTGCCATTTTCCACGCAGTTTCTCAGCCGCCGGCCATGAAAACTTGAAGCCCCCGACAAATGTCCGGCAATAAAAGGCACCCATAAAGCTGCTCCACTCGTGTGTGTATGCCAAATGCAAAGGCGGGGAGCTAAAATCCTGGTCAACTGGGTAATTCCAACTGGGGATTGACGACAGAGCCGCCAGCTCAAACTCAAACTGAACTAGAGTCGTTTGGAAAATCAGAAATAATAATGGTAGCAATGTAAAAGGCAACTTCTGTATTTGCTTCGCTGGTGGGGCATGCAAATTGCTCATACGCCTAGTTGGCCTAGTCTACAGTACGATTTCAATCAGCCGCTGCCAGTGGGTCAGGCATTATCAGATATTAACGCCGGCAATTTGGCATCGGATGAATTACGCGACAAGCATCGATGGCGTCACTTACACATGTCGAACAACGGCCATCAATAAATACTAACGGTGCCTCGCGGCATCGGACTCCCCATCACCTCAGTTACCAGTTCCCAATCCCCATCGCCAGTCTTCCATCTTCTGTCTTAGATCGCCGGAAGTCTTTGTTTGGGCATGACTCCATTTTTGCCTTATGATTATTGTGTGATCGCGTTTTAATCGCACTGGAGCAGCAGCTAAAGCAGCACATGTGAATCATGCGCAAGTGCCGCTTTTCCCATTCGAAAACCAGTTTCCCCCACTTACCCACTCATTGGGCTCTAATCACACCCGCTGTCTAACTGCAAATCTGGATGGGATCGCGTGCTGCGGCTTTGAGGCTTTGCGACTTTGTTGCGGCTGGAAATCATCTTCAATTTCTGTGCTAGCCGGAAGCCAGTCGGTTGCTGTTGCTCCATTCCATTCGGGCGGTTATGATTGCGATTGTTCTTGTTTATAATTCAATTATGTGGCCGCATGTAAAACCACTTCGTTCGGAGCCTCAAATTCTTTCCCCAGATGTTGACTCTTCGAGGTGGAATGTTTACTCTTCTCTTGCTTTTGATGCATGCACAGGAAGAAACTATAATTGCCACTCTATTTGGATATCTTTAATTTCATAACAGCTCTATTGGTGGCACTCTAACTGTGGAAAGCACAGAGGAACATTGTTTTCTGACGTCTTATTTATATTTGAAATTTTTACATGTTATTACGGAAAATAATTATAAATATAAATAAAGCTTAGCAAAAATCTTTTAAAATATTTAAAAGTTATTAAAAAATTTAGAAATAAAAATGTAATAGTTTTTGTGTGCTTGGTACGTTAGCATTCGAAATATTATTGTTTCGTTGACCGTTTAGCTTTTAATTGACTTGTCAATACCGAACTGACATCGCTCCGTTTTTCTTTTTTTGCCCGTGTGGCTGTACTTGTGATCTTTGATCTCACCAAGGTTCTGGTAATCTGATAAATATTGCCTCCGCTCTTGATTGACAGCCTTTCCCCGGCATTGATCTCATAAATATGAGCCAAGACCTCGCTTTTTGTCGACTCCATTAAGGCGGTCTGCGAGCACTAAGCTAAAAGCAGCTTAATGCACTCTGGGATGCCCAGAGACTCAGATACTCAGAGATAGAGATAGAGGCAGAGATAGACAAACATACACAGGATACATATAGTACGTGTACGAACGACTGGCTGGGATGATGGTAAGCTGCAATTGCTGTTAAGGCATTTGGCTACCACTCAAGCAGCTGCGGCAGTCAGCGCTGCTGATGATGATGAAGATGAAGATGAAGTTATTATTATCTGACAAGGGCATCGCCGCCATGGAAACTGCAGTGGCCCGCACTTAGCGGCGCTGTTTTCCACGTTATCCACATTTTCCACCGATACCTGCAGCCCCTACGTGTCTGCTGTCTTTATTAGAGGCGTGACTAATCGGCTCGATGCCTGATGTCTTATACTCGATGCCCGATGCCGATGCCTTATGTCCAATGTCCTCTGGCTGACTGGCTGCCATCATCATCTTTGCTTTTGGCCATTAGCAGTGGTAAGCGTGTACGCCGCGCTATTTGCCTTACATCCAATCACTATTAAGGGTTCAAGCTGCCAATTTCCAGTGTCTACACAAATTTGATTAGGTTTCCTCGTTGAGCGGGCAGCTTCCGAGTGCGGTTTGGGGAAAGTGTTAGATTTATGCCTCGGCGGTTTTCATCTTGTTCGAAAGTAAATTATAGGCAATCGATCAAGATGGTGGGCTTTTGTCTAGTGTTCAATTTCCAGTCGAGAAAGTCGAGTTTTCCTCGGGCAGTGTTTGTATCTGTATCGAATGGATTGGTATTAAACGGGCTATGGAAAAATTTAAAAAAATGTAATCCTCAAATTAACCGTTTAATCAAATTGATTATAATGCTGCTGGATATATTTCCTTTAAAAAATAATATTAATTAGTTCTTCATAAAAGGAAAACAATGAGAAAAGAAAGCACCCACTACTCTTTAAACCAAAAACCATGAAATAAATTTTCACCGGAAAGTGTAAGAAAAAGCCACAAACAAGTAATTAAAATTCCACATGAAGCTGAATTTACTGCTGAAATTTACAAAGTCGAAAAACAAAAGAGGCCAAAAAAGCGGCTACAAGAACAGAATGTCATTGCTAACAAGAGAAGACAACGAGAACTGAAAAATAATTACGGGCCAGGAGAAACAATAATAATAAGCAACATGAGCAGCCTGTCAGCCGCAGGAGGATCAGGAGGAGGGGCAGGAGGGTCAGGGGGAGCAGATGCCACTGCTACCGGCCAACAGGCAACTGTTACGGCCACCGGCAACATGGAGCCAGCGATGGTGCCACGTACCGCCAATTTGCTGGCATGCAAACAATGGTGGCGCGTCTGCTTTTTGTACGGCGACCAGCAGAAATATTATCGACAGCTCTATAGCAAGGCGGCGGCCCAGCGGCTGGCGGACGCTAATCAGGATCCCAATCCCGACAATGGCAGCCGCGATCGGGACTACGACACCGTGGACTGCGATCTTATCGCCGGGCAATTAGATGCCGCCGAGGATGCGGACGATGGCATCGATCTGGGCGATCACGCGGGGATGCCCCCGCCAACGGGACGACCGCTCTTCCCGTTCTCCTCCTCGCCGCGGCGCAGCAAGAAGCTCCTGAGATCCCTGCGAGCCCATGTCCGGGGAGAGAAGTCTTCGGGAAAGGCCACCACAAACGGCTCTACTAACGAGTCCAGCGAGATGACCCAAAGGAATGCCAGGGTGACCGTCCTCGATGATCCCTTTCTCTTCGGCATCGATGCCGATCACCTGGGCGATCTGGTGGTGCGGGGAAAACGCTACAGTCCGCTGGACGCCACCGAGAACATGGCCAAGTTCTATGGCGAACAGGAGGCCACCGCACAGGTCCTGGAGATTATCGAGCAGGAGGAGGAGGCGAATCCTGTGAGTCAGGAAGCACCCAAGCCCGCCCTGCCGCCCAAGCAGAAGCAGCAGCGTCCTGTGCCGCCACTGCCACCACCACCGGCGAATCGGATCACTCAGGATCAGCCTGCAACACCACAAGTGCAACCCCTGCAACCCCTGACCGTCGGCGATCTTCAGTTTCTGAATATGAGCCTGCGGCACCGCAGTTTACCGCGCAGCATGAAGCCGTTTAAGGATGCCCACGATATCAGTTTCACTTTCAACGAACTGGACACGAGTGCCACCGCAGCGGAAGTGGCCACAGGAGCAGGAGCCGCCCAGCAGGAGTCAAATGAGTGAGTAACCTTCTAGCCAGCTCCATTTGTCAGTTGCAATTTGGCCGCCCTTTTGCCGCACGGCTGCTGACAATTTAAATGCATAAGTTTTGCTTGGCCCCCAATGATTGATTACCCGGCAGCCGGGAGTTGGGAGCTCGAGAGGAGTGGCCGGAGTTGCAGGAGGCTGCAACTTGTTGCGCAAGACGAGGCAGGAGTCAATGAACACACATTGCGTGTTCTGCGACCAAGACGAACCGCAAGATACACGCAACAAGCTGCAAGCAGCAACATCAGCCACTCGGGCAACTTGTTCTTGTCTCTTGGCAGCCTGAAATTGAAACCCCCGGAACAGTGGTGGCAACCCTCACGAAAATCAGAGCTCAGAAAGTTTGGCTAGAATTTCCGTTAGATTCTTGATGATTATAATACTTTTTCCCAATGTTATATTTAAAATATACCTGTTTTATCAACAAATTTCCTTACTTTATATTTAGCCTCAAAAAACATATCACATTTCATTGATAAGGTCCATCAGACCTTAAAATTTATTCAAAACTTACTAGGAAATGATATTTTGATTGACAGATCTCAAGACCTTATGTTATGTGGTTTTGTTGGTTTATGTTGGAGGTTTCCCATATCAATTATCAGTTTTCAAGGCAACATTTTAATGGAATACACTTAACTTTAAGTAAACTTATTTTCTTTAAATCAGTAAAATGGAGTTTAGGTTAAGCAATAGGGTTAAATAATCTTTACATGTATATAGAAATAAATAAATCACAATTCTTTCCATAAGAATGTCTAAATCAAACAATTTTCCAGGATTTATCATAATTTTTTGGGTTCTACTTTATAGATCTTGAATCCAAGGGTTGAAGGCTCAAAACTAGTTAAAAGAGATGTCTGAAAAATGATGAAAAACTCTACATCCATTTGGAATAAGCTTTTAAACCATTTTGCCCCAGTGTGCCTGTCTGGTTTCGATGCGCTGCGTTGCACTCTGGTGCAGTGATGCCCCGTTCCCCATCACGTTCCCCCAGGCTCCTCCAGGCTCCACCCGGCTCGTACGCATCACTCACATCGGCGACGGGGCTTTGGCTCTGGGTATGGGTCTCCACTTACGCGGCCATACTCGGGTTACGCATACGACGCGGTGCCTCTGGGCCGGCGGCGCACAAACGACAACTGCCAAAGTGTGATTTACCAGGGGCCTTTGTCCGTCCCTCACGGGGTCCCGATCTTTTGGCAGATCGGTTGCAGCAGCAGCAGCAACAGCGGCAGCGGCAGCGGCAGATATAGTATACCTACATATATGCGATATGGCTGGCGCAATTTCAGTGCTCTGCTCTGGCGAGCTCCGCTTTCATGTCATGATTTTGCATAATGCCATGCAAATATCGGGGGCCCTAAGCCTAAGTTATTGTGTTTTGCGGATGGCAGGCACGCAGCTTATGAAATATGGCCGGCGATTGTTTTCCCTCAGCCGCATGACATTTCCTCCTTTTCATTCTGCCAGGGAATGGGAGTCGCAAATGGGGTGGGGTTTGGATAGGAAAAACAATATTGGCATATATTTCCATGGACATTTAAGGGCTTTGATTTAGTATGCAGGCCTTTGGGGCAAACAAAAGACTTAGGCAACGAACTCGGCAACTTGGGAAACGGAGTTGGAAGTTGGAGAAAGAGCCACAACTCAATTAGTTTGTTGGCCAAGCTCATCATGGCGTCGGTGATGGCGATGACGATGATCAGCTTTGGCAACCACAAATTAGAGAGCATAGCCACGTTCGGGAGCTGCATTGGCAAACGGCCTGCTAACAGGAACCGCCAGCTATTCCAAGCGATTCCAAGCGATATGAAGCGACTCCGGCAAGAAGGCAATCAAAGCATAATTAATAATAATAACAGACGCCGTTTTGATGTGCCTCTGACACGGCTTCAACCCGATCCGTCTGCAATCCGGTAGCCACACGCGATTCTCCATTCTCGGCTCTCGAATCTCCATTCTCGATGATTCTCGCCCAGAAGCCCAACGGCTGCCATCGATGAGATGGTCCCACCTTCCCCACACTCGCATTCGCATTCGCATTAGTTCCCAAGATCTATGCAAAGCTGCGGATTCCGAATCTGGTTTCGCCTGGGCTTTTAATTGCCTGGGCCCCAGAGCGCTTAATGAAGATATTAAAAAATTGCACTGCAATAATTTCTCCGGCTCGGCAGTCTTCGGCCGAATGAATGGCTTCTGGTTTGTTCACATTCTGCGCTGGCAATTAACTTGTGTTCAGCTCGTGTCTAAGCATTCAATTCAATCTTAACTGCCATCGAGTGCCGCATAAATCTCGAGAGCTTAACCGGGATCCTCCGTCACGGCCCGCGTCTCCGATTCGCGTTAAGGGGGCGGAATGGGGAGGGACGCATTTACGACTTGTTCGGCAGTCGAAATGGGCAGAAGAAACAAAAACTGATGGATAAGAATTTAGTTGGAAAACTCTGTAAATATGTTTTTACCATCCTCAATCGTCCCTGCTTCTTTCCATCCCATACTTAATATTTATGGCCGGGAGCAATATGTTGCAAGAATATTTTCATTCTAGGGATGGAAAATATATTTATCATTTAATTTGGACTTTCTACATTAGTGTTTCACAATAATATTATATTATATTTGCTATATTATTCATGTATTATAGTATGAATAGTATAGTATGTATGTATTATAGTATGTTTAGAGTTAGGGCTAGTAGTCAACCCAACAAAAAGTCGTCCAAAACCAAAAACTTTATATTAAACAAAATTTTTTGACGTTATTTTCATATATAGTTTTTTGTTTTGGACGACTTTTTGTTTGGGTTGAGTACTAGCCCTTAAATGTAACTTAAATCTGGAGTGTCTATGTAAATTTTCAATCAACTTAAAGGTTGATAGTTATCTGTGTATTATGCAAGGACGTGGGCAGGGGGTTTTGGTGTTTTGCAAAATATAAATAAATGTTTTTGATTATTTATTATTATTTAAATGAGAATTAAGGAATGAAATGCAATTTAAGTTTGCAATGCTTACAGAAAATTAATGCACCCAAATATAAAATTGTATACCATCCATAAAAATCATAAAAATAAATATTAAATTTTATTTCTTTAAGTAAAATACCTAATATTATTCACTGTATTATTTAATTCACTATTGGAATGACAAAATACTTTCATTAAAATTCGTAAATCCATATTTGTGTTGCCACATTCCCATACATCACTTGGCCGCTCATCTTCAACATTTCCACAGCAGCAGCACCACCACCACGACTGCGAACTCTCTTGGCCCATTCATATTGATTTTGGTTTTAATTAACAAAGCCATTAGGGGCACTCGCCTGCGAGCCGCAAATGCCGCCGCCCCTGACAAATGGTTTTTGGGGGCGTGGCTGCCTCGCTGGCTGTGTTGCAGATGCAACTTAATTGCAATAACAAAGTGCAGCCAAAGCGACGCTGATGGTGGCGGCAACTTGCATGACTTGGCCCAGACAATTGGCCAACTGGCTTGGCTCTCTGTGAGCCAGGTTTCAAACTGCGGGTTTTTAAGCGGCGCCAGAGAAGTGCGAGACAACAGCGACAACAACAGCGCCACAGCCTTTGTGATTTATTTATGCATGGCGATAAAATATGATTTTGTTTTCGTCATTTTTGTTTCAAGTCTTTATTACTCGCATGTATGGTATATGGTTTATGGTTTGCCTGCCTGCTCGGTAATGTGAAAATAAAGCAAGGCCATTAAGCGTCTCCGCTCATGTTGGCCATGCTAATTGCCTCAAAGTGGCGGGCGGTCGGTGGGCGGGGGGCAGTGCTTAGACCATGTTTATACGCATTTATGGCCAGCAGAACTGCGCCGCATATTAATTGTGTCTTGGGAATTGTGTTCCCCCTTTTTGGCCGGCATTTTGGCCGGGCCTTTCTCAAGCCTCTTAAGCCGCTGTCAAAATGACTGAAATTGAAATCGGTCTTTGTTGCTGCCCCCCTCTTGACTTGTCTGCGCCCACATCAAAGCGATTCGCTGTGGATCAGTATCGGTTTATAAACGTTATACATATGATTTCGAACGTCAAAACAAGTGCGTTGGTCGTAAAGGGATTTTTGGGATTAGTTTAGCCGAAAGTTGACACTTGACTGACAGATCAAGACAACACACAGAGCACGGGGAAATTCCTAAGGCCCCCTCTAAGCCGCTGGAATTCCCCCGCCCCTGGCTAACTAATTAATAAAACATTTAACGCACTCACACAGACACGCAAGGCAATAAATTAATTGCTTGCAGGGGAAAAGGGGGGCTTGCAGCGGAGAGGCAGTCGCGTAATTTTTATTGACAGCTTCACTTTTTGCATTTAAATTGCCTGCATGCCACTGGACAACTAGCAACCAGCAACCTGCAACTAGCAACCTGCAACATGCAGCAGAGTGGCAAGAGTCCGCCTGCATTAACACTCTTTGCATTCCTGCCTCGTTAGCTCTTGAACTTGCCTCCAAGCGGGTTTGCAGCGATCCACTAACCGCGATAAGGGGTACGAATTATCATTGTTCGATGTGAGAGTGGGGCTTAGAAGGCGGAAACCTGACAATTTAGCCGCACTTGTATGCTAAGTCGCCTTTCAGATGACAAATCGACGGAATTACCAGTCTCATCTCAGCCACAATGCAAAAGGCCTTTTTGCGGCCATTAAGCCAGCAGGTTGCAACGTGCAATGTGCCGCATCATTTCAATGTCAGGGCATCTCATAAAATGCAATTAGCAGCTAATTATTTTTGCCATGTCGCCAGTTGGCTGTTGGCTGTTGCCAGGTTGTCAACGAGCCTCCGGGAACAGTTAGTGCAAAAGTGCAGTTTACCGTTCTAACTTTTTGTCAAACAACGAGCCAAATCAAAAGCAGGAATCTGTGGCTGGAAGTCGATGCTAAGAGTACCCTAAGGAGATAGAAAAATAATAAATTAATATTAAAGTAATGAAATATTCCTTCTGTCCCAACT